TGTACTTGTGCCTTGCGTGGCCTCAGGCACTACCACGAGAAAAGTGTGGCCTACGAGCTGTCTGAGTGCAGCGCTGCGGACGTGGAGTTGCAATCGCAGGCCACTTGGCGAATCCAATGTGGTGGAAGTTCGTGCGCACGGGTATGCACCCTCTGAAGCGTAGCCTGATGATGACAGTCGTCGTGTTTGCATTGAAGGCCTCACTGATGTACGTGTATGTGTCACCACGGCTGCGAATGCTTCAGACACCGCGCAACCATTAAATGCAGGGACAGCGGTACTGTGATCTCGCAGGTGGCCACGTTTGATCATCCGCTGTCAGGCATTGGCTGGTTGTGGATACTTGCGTGTGGTCGGGTGTTGTGTTTCGGATAGAGCGGAATCACGCTTCCATTTCAAGCATCGTGGGAAGCATGGGCGGTGGTACCGATGCTTGTGCCATGAGACATTCGCTGCGACTGCAGGGCCTCCTGCTACCGCAAACTCCTCCAGATTCAGCTGGCATCCCGACTGCAAGTTCTTCGGACTGGAGCAAATCACGACAGCAAGCGCTGCCCTCTGCTCAGCAATCCCTGCCTTCACCCCTTCTCGCCTCCCCACGCCACCTCGAAGCTGTTATTGGCGCATTCCAATGATAAGACGCGCTTTCCTCGATTTCGCTGGAGTGGTTCGGCCCTGAAACTAAGGCAGTACTATAAAGCAGAGAGTCTTGTCAGAGTGGGGCCCTGAATCACTAGAAGGGAAATCTCGCCGTGCATGACCCTGCTGCCTCCAGCAGTGTCGTTTGAAGGTGCAGCAGATAGACCGACAGTGGACTGCAGGACTACAGGTATTAAACGTGCAAAAGAAACCCTCCGGGATTCGCCAATCGGCTCTGGAAAGGGCTTTGACTCTAAGGGATGTGACTCGGCCAGTAGCTGCATGGGGAAGTTTCAACTTGCATCAGCTGAGGCAAGAAGTGATCGTGGGGCCATCGCTTTTGGTTGCCTTCGTCTTGACAGTGGCAGGTAGGTCGGATTGTGGAGACATTGGCTGTCACTTCCGAGAGTGCTGTGGTGTCCGACGATCTGTCAGGTTGTTCGGGGCTTCTGATGTTTGAGTACTGCCACATCCCTAAATGAACGATAGGTAGGCCCACGTGATTTGCGCTCCATGCTCTAGCGATCCACAGCAGGCTGCTCCATGACGGTGGCTTACTTGCACACAGCATCAGCGGGGAGAGATCTGCCATGCCTGACAGCTGCAGCATACTTCCGAAAATAGGGGACCCTACTATAGTACCCTAAATAGTAGGATCCTTATTATAAGGACCCCCAGAATAAGGTACCCCTAATTTTCGGAAAGGTCCCATACCGTAGCATCAGTGTAACATGGCACTCGAACAGCCAAGCTTGGGGAGATCATCGCGCCGGGGCTTGAAGACTTAGGCCTTCTCCGTTCACCTGCGCTGCATCTTTGGTCCCTTGGGCCAGTCCCACTTTTCCCTGTTCCAGCTCCTGGGATTGCTGCTAAAGTATGCTTGCAGACTCGGTGGGTTTAGGGTTTAGGCGGTCGCGGTGGCGTCGTTCCATGATCGTCGCAGATTGCTTTCGCAGCTGTTGCTTCCGGGTGGCATGGGAAAGCTTAGCATAACCCCGTCGAGCCTTACAGTTTGAGTGCGGTTATGGAACTTCCCATGTTCGGCAATAGAGTGTTCGGGCCGGGGCCGCGTCAGGGGGTGTGATTCACGACGCTCCACAACCATATCATAGCCATCGCTTGCCCCGGTAAACACCAGAAGCATTTAAACTTTCACGGAACCAAGGTTCGCCTACGGTATCCCAAGCTTCTCAGAACATCCGCTTGCATGGCCGACCCTTTTCAACCAGGCGCACATTGGAGTTCCTACGGCTCCGAGATTTCTCAGTCTATATTATGTTATTCATTCATTTATGGGTCATAGTTATCATGGGCTACACATTATAGACAGGTCATCAGATTACAGGTTGTAGATTGTACATCCTTAGATTCCTTAGCTTGCGCAGAAGACTTCCATCCTTTTCGAATGCCCGAGAAAAGCAGGCAAAGAACACCCACATGGGCCGAATATAGGGGCCTTAAAATAACTAGACTAGGGTTTGGGTGGTTTGTGGAAGCCTTGGCCGTACTAGTCCAGTTATCAAGGTCCCCTTAGTGGCTCCTTTAATGCATCCATTCGGAGCTCTTTTCGGAAGTTGCTTCAGATACAGGAATGTCTGGAGTCGATCATGCTCGGCCTGCTATGTTGTCGAGAGTCTTTCAGGCATGATATCATGCAAAGCCAGTTCCGAACGGAAAGACTTGCAAGAGAACCCTAAGCTGACTTAGCTTGCAAGCTACTTACACAACTGCATGGACCATCTCAGGCAGTGTGAACCTGCATCTGCCCTGTGGGCCTAGTTCTATTTCTGTAGTGCAACCTCGCATGTACTAGTAGATGTGACTCGACGATATCCTTACAGGGCTTTACAGTCTATCATGTCGTTTTTCTTCAATCCATCTTTGTTCAGACCTGCGTTTGGCTCCTGTTGGTGCTTGGAGCAACATTTGATGCACTTTCAAGGGTTAGGGCACGCTACGATTCTCGGATACAGCCGCGCAGCCGGCACTTTTCTCCGCAGTTCACCTTCATCCTCTTTGCGATTGGCGTGGCGGCCCAAGCTTGCCCTGGGGAAGCAATTGCAGATGCCAGCAGAACTTTCAGGGAACGACTGTGTCTGTGTGCCGCCAGGTGAACTTTTTACAGCTGATTCTACTCTTGCTGCTCTGGTACTGGAGGGTACCGAAGCTGAAGCACATCGACTGGAGGCAGACTGCAGACCCTCCGCAGTTTTCCTGCCAAATGACGGGGAGCAAAGAGAGACTCCGAGTGGCAATTACAAGAATCAGATCTCCTGAGCCAGCAGGGCAGTGGCGCACTGCTTGGGTGCCTGGTCCGCCTTGGATGTGGCCTTGATCAGCCACCCGACCCCAAGGTTTCAATGGAAGTTGCATGTTAGGTCTTAGGCGTCAGCGTTGGGTCTCAACCTGCAGCGGGTACGAACAATACTATATGGTATGCTAGGGAGAGTGGTTAGTTCACCACTGACATGGCTTCACCTTGCAGAGAACCTCAACGCAGGTATGATCATTACCATGCTGGAGTTGGGAGCATCGGACTTCGTCCACCTTTGGAACAGTGACAAGCGGCATCTGAGTCGAAGGCACGTCTGTCCTTCCCTGAGTTGTTGTTTCAGCGAGTCGGATCCCTAGAAACAGGTTTGGCATCGACATTCGTGGGCCTGAGAAGGGCCTGACCGTCGCCACTCGCCTGTGGGTGAGTTTCGAACGTGTTAGATTTAGGGCGAAAGGTTGTGCAAACGGCATATCAAAAACGTGGAGAGGCATGCCACATTCGATTACTCCTCCCAAACCAGGCATGCTGACAGCCAAGGACGTCGTTCTGAGCTCTGGTACATATCTGCTTTTTGTCCGGACCTCAGCGGCGCAAGCTTTGCAACTTGGCTCTCTGAAGCTCCCGGTCCACCCTGCTGGCAGGTTGCAGTGCTGCTGCAGGCCGCGGGAAAGGTCAAAAAATGTGCAGTCGACTGGCCTATAGCCTATCTATGGCCTGTATGTTTCCATCACTGTATCCACCTTGGGAGTTGCCGAAGCAATGCGCTTGGAAGCTTGGGGAGGCCTGGGCCTCGCGAGCAGCCCTCCACTTCTTGGACAAGAGGACAAGCTTCCGATTGTATCTGCCGCGGGGTCTCTTCGCACTCTCTTGCAGGGCTAAGTCATGCCACCAGCATGGGCATTTGGAAAGGAGTCCCAATGCCATGCAGCGTGGGCGCGAGCGATTGTATCTTGCTCGGCAGTGCTCTTCCAGCGCAAGCATGCTACATGGCAGCGTCACAGAGATTAGTGAGTCAAAGCCAAGGTTGGTGCAGTGAGACCTGCGCGACACAAAGATGGTTGAAGGCACAGTATGTCAGACGTTCTGAGCACAGAATGACAGGCAGCAGAAGATTCGACTACACAGGAAAAAATCATTCATACATAGTTAGTATCGTGCCAACATGCACACCTGATTTCGGCGGTGTTGCGAGGACTGGTCCCTACCTGGCCGCTGTATATACCAGGTGCCTCCGAGACGCTTGCATTGGCGCTGACATGCCTTAGCCGATTAGCTATTCTGTGTGCCCAAACCCTGCATGGCGTCACGTTCCTGAGGAGCTCATATGCCGGCTGACCTGAATTCGCTATTAGTAGCCTGCCTTTTACACATGCCCTCGCTGAGTTGCATTTGTTCGTTGCTTGCCGAGAAATGTGTATGCTTTTGCTGGCTAGAAGAAGCTAGCAATGCAACCACCATTGGTAAAGCTGGCATGCAAACTGAACGAGTTGAACGGTGCGGCATGTGATTGCACAGCCTGAGAGTGCGCCAATTTGTGCTCAACATATGTGTTGCGATCTTTGTGCCTTCAGCCGTCATCTTTAAAACCTGGAGGTGCAGAAACAGAAGGCACATCTGGCCCCAGCCTAATTACCAGGACGGACAGAGAATCAAGTCTCCTTGCATGTAGGCAGCCTCTGTCGGGGGTATGGCTGGGACTTATGCCCATCGTTTACACAGAGCGATGAGGGTCGCTGCTCGTTACACAGATTTCCGGGCTAGCCAGGTCCCGTCGGCTGGGAAAAGGCTGCAATCTCTGACATTGTTGGGTTCAAGGGTCAAGTGAGTCAAGTGTAAGGAAATCGGGAGGTGGCCTTGGCATCCAGATTCACAAGTGCTGCATCATCCTCCAACTATAAGGCGGCCAGCAACAGCAGGTCAGGTGTTGAAGCTAGGTGACTAGGCTCGTAGGGGTGGAGAGCTCGGGGGGATCTGCAAGCTCCGTCTGCTGTGGCCGCTGGCACTTGGTATGCAACGGCGGGGAAAGAAAGTCTGCGCGCCGCCGCCGTCCACGTTAGGCTGTTTATCCTTGTCCTCGTGCCATTTGGTCGTCGCTTCATGGCTTCCGAGCGTAGAGGGAAGTCAAGGCGGAAAATCGGAGCATCCTCGTTCCAACGCATTGTCCGACTGTCACCACCGATGGGAAAGATAGACTTCGCAGCCACATTGAGCCACCGTGAAGGAATGCAGATTTAGCTGTCTTACATAGCGGGAGCAGTGCCGATCGGCTTATCTCAGACCCATGCAGCCAGCATGGCAGCCGCCCCTGTCAGACCAAATGTGGTATGCTCAGAGGAGTCAGAGGCTCTTGAATCGCCGCATGCGTAGTTCTTGAGGTTGCCGGGCCGGTCCGTGTCTTCGTCCGGCTGCGGCCGCCTGCGGAGAGGCACTAGAAGCGCAGCTCGGGCTCTTTCAGGGCGGTGGTGACATGTGCAAAGGCAGACGATCGAGATGTTCGAGATCAGCCCCGAACGACAAGGCGAGGCTCATTCACCCGTTGTCCCGTTGGTTTCTGGAAACGGCCTTTCCTTTCAAGCATTGCTTTGTTGAAGTTCCTCCTGCCTTTGTCCACAGGTGTCGTTACCATCAAGGACCCATTGTCATCTGGCCGAAGGGAGACGCTTGCCAAGAATATGCAAGTCCAGACTGAGCTGTCATGAATCACATAGAAACTCATGAAAGCATTGCATTGGCCTTTTCACGCAGCCAAACAAGGTTCGACCGGCAGTAATCAGTAATCATGTTGTTGCTGACAGTTGCTGGATTGGTGTTTCGTGCTGCGCGCATGATGTTGTGGAGGCAGAGTAGCTGTGCTTACATGTCTGTCTGTCTGTCTGTCTGTCTGTCTGTCTGCACATGTTCTAGCCTTCCAGCGCCTTTCGGTCTCGTTCCTTCTTTCCTTCCGTTGGTAGCGGATCTTTGAAGCACTCAGGCACAGCTTCGAGTTCAACATGGTCTTCAACGAAGAGACATCGCAAGATCAGCTATTTATGCCAGTGGCGGGTCAGGCAGTAGAACCTTGGACTGAGTACCTTAGTGACCTTGGCCTTGGTCTGTCCGCCTTGTGAGTGGCACTTGCCAGGCATTTCTGCATTGCAGTATGCTTTCCGAAGAATCCTATATTATATCATATTATATTATATTATATTATATTATATTATATTATATTGTATTGTATTGTATTGTATTGTATTGTATTGTATTGTATAGTATAGTATAGTATAGTATAGTATAGTATAGTATAGTATACA